ACACACACACACACACACACACACACACACACACACACACACACCTGTGACGCCTGAGATCTCACACACTCAGATGCACTGATGACACGAGTCTCGTGCGTATGGAGAGTGATTGACAGCTGTTTGCAGCACTCATGAATAATTCAGTGCTTCGGGTCGATATATAGACTGTGTGACGTTTGAGCGAGTTACTTAAGCATGCCAGAAAACGTCTGTGTTTTTAATCTAAAAATTTCAGACATAAAATGAAAGTATTTAAAAAAAAAAATGTATTAATTAATTCATTTAATTTATTTAAGTTAAAATGCAGTGTAACTTGACACTGATAGTTAAAATTAAATAAAAAATTGAACAGGTAAATTTTACCTGTTAAAACAGCAAAGATGTGTTGAATTCAGAACCTCATAAATAAATCATTGCAAAGCAGGGTTATTATACTAAAACCATAAAAATTGCTTGAAATAAAATAAACGTTAACTGAAAAATATATACATATATTTTTTTCAGTTAACGTTTATTTCAAGTAATTTTTTATTTTTTCATTCTTTTATTTCAAGTATTTTTATTTATATTTTATGTACATATGTTTTTAATATAAATGTAAACTTACTTTATTTAGGCAAAGTATTTCTTATTTTTCATTTAAATAAACTTGATGTACTATAATAATTAAACAACAAAACACACTACAAAGCTGCAAAAACTATTTAAAATAATAATGGAAAATATGAAAATAAAAACTATTTTAAAATATTTTAAAAAGACAGTATTAGTGTCTCAGTGACACACAAAATAAACACAAAAGTTATCTTGATATACAAAAACAGCTAAAGTAAACTTTAATAAAACTATAGACAAAAAAAAAAAAAAATACTAAAACTTTAACAAAACAGCTCCACCTGCTGGAGAGTTTAGATTCAGATTCAGCCGCTTGCAATTAACATTTTGCCTCTTGAAGACTTCTGTATGTAAATGAGCTCTCTTTTGATTGGCTGACCTTTTCATATGTGAATGCTTATTTGTGGCTGTGGCATTGGGCCAGTGTGAGCTGAATAAATCACATCTAGATGCAGAACTCCTTGAACTGGTGTGTTTTTGCAGCCATTCTTTCCGCGCTGAAGAACCTGCAGGAGAAGATCCGTCATCTGGAGCTGGAGCGATGTGATGCTCAGCAGAAGCTCCAGACCATCTCCAGAGAATCCACACACTCAGACCACAGACACACAAA